GAGTCCTGGAGTGCAAGGGAGAAGAGGCGACTTTCGAGCCTCATACGTGCACTCAACGGTGATGAGCATGGAGCCGCTGATGTAGAGAATGTGGAGTATGTGCGGGAATTCCTAGGTGACGTTGGCACATTAGACCTCACCAAGTTGGAGGACGTCCATACTTGGTGGAGAGTTCGGAGGTTCTTACAACTCGACTTCGTGGATGAATCGGCCGGTATGGATGTTGCTGCAACCACTACAGCGCTCCTCCTCTGCTCCATCACGATCGCAGGACTTCTGGACTGGTTCGTGCATGACACACAGTTCACTGCCGGGCTTGCGGGGACGATCATTCTCATAACTGCGCTGACCATCACAATGTTCAACATTCTGGATGCATGCATAGCAATCAACCAGATGTTGGAGCGCGACGCCCGCATCCTGACCGACGCCAGAAACGATGCCTTGCTAAGTGCCCTGGCCTGCTGATATATAAATTCGGCCAGCATAGTACCATGATGGCATATTGACTATCAATTACAGGAGGTAGTTGCGTTGCTTTAGATTCACACTATATAATCCCTATATAACCCCAATGTATACCCTATTATAATGCAGTAGTTTCCATTATTCCTATATAAGCGCAATAATATCCCTATAATATCCCTATATATAGACCCGCTACAGTAGCTTCCATTTTCTTTCCCATTATTTCTATATAACCCACTATTATAACCCCCACACATTTTCTAGTTTCCGTTTCATTTTCCATTTTCTTGTCCATTTGATTCTCCATTATAGTAGTTTCCATTTATTTTCCATCACAATCCCTATAGTAGTTTCATATAACCCCAATTATAGTCACCCAAGACCAAGGCGAATCGGTGGAGGTGGAGAAGGTGAATTCCCTGCTCGAAGACGAAAAGTTGAGGCATCTCGGCAACACGAATATAGGGATAATGGAAAAGAAAATGGAAACTACTCTAACGGGGTTATATAGGGATATTATAGGGGTTATATAAGTGTCCTTCGAATTCTACCTGGCAAACTTGGATCATGAATGCTTGTATGATGGGACCTGTATTTGAATACTTGTAAGAGGACGGCATTTTTTGGGTTCAGGGCTTGCCAGTCCTTGTAGAATTTCCAAAAAAGGTTGTCCACCAAAAAGTCTACGTGCCTTTTCAATGGCCCCCTCATTTGGAAACTCCCATATGCCAGTTTGGCGCAGCATGTGTATCCCCATCAGACAACATTGCCGGCGCCCGGCTTTTACAGTAGCTTCTATTTTCTTTTCCATTATCCCTATATAACCCCTATGACATCCCTATAATATCCCTGCTATATAACCCCATTACAGTAGTTTCCATTTTCTTTTCCATTACCCTAAATAAGCCCAATAATAGTCCCCTATATAACCCAATATATCAGCCCTTAAAGCTGCCAGGCCTTTGATGAGCAACAGCAGCATTTGTTCGGCATCACCATCACTGCCAACTTGCGTAATAGCTGGGTGGCGACGCTCTGTGCAACAGGTTTCTCTGACATGATTATCCACCGAATTCATGTCTGCAACCTTCCTAGCATTCCCAAACGGATAGTCATTTCTATGCCACGGCTTAGTTATCATCCCTCCCTTCAAGCCTGCCCAATTCCTTGGGTAAAGAAAAATGGCATCCCACATTTTAGGGTCTTTCTGTTGTATTTCCTCAAGGTCTGACCACAGCGTGGCAGATGCTCCGACCAAAGGTGAAAGACCTTACCATAGACGCCATCCAGGACACGGGAACAATGTTGAAACCCGTTGTTGTTTGTTGGGCACATCATTCTCCCAGCCATACATCCTACACCCCACATCCTAGACTACCCCAAAACTGCAGACCTCACATCCAAACTGTAGATCCTAAACCTCAAACTCTACAGACCCTGAACTCCCCCCACCCAGAAACCCTAAGTTGATGCTATTGAGAACCTTCATATTGTGAGCCATTGTCTAAGCTCATAGTATCCCCCTCAATGACCCCCATCATGGCCCCTATACAATCCCCTGTATAACCTCCTTTGAGGAGTTAAGACTGTAGCCCATGTTTTTTGGAGGAACGCCTTGGGCAGCTGCCAGTTCCAGATTGGTTGGAGACCTTCGCCATGCAAAAGCTGGCTTGAATCTCTCAGGTAGATTCCGGGCACCCTGTGCCATAATTACATGAGCCATAGTCTGAATTCCTTAAAGGGGGTTACATAAGGGAAGTATATAGGGGGCAGTATTGGGGTTGTAAGGGGGATGCTACTTGTAGGAGTTTAGACGATAGATCATACATGGACTTTGGGACCACAATATTGTCAACTATTTAGGCTTCGACAGTAGGACAGACCCTCTAGGAACCCCTTGGTTCCGCTGGAATTCTATTCGAAGTGTCCTTCTTGCGGGGGACTTCCCGTTTGGGCTCTTGTAGGAATTTACAAATCTATCCCATTTAGCCAGTCTCTGGTATTTGGTGGTCTCTTTCAAGGGGCTTGTTGGGGATGTACTGGGATCAGTATTCAGGTATAGTTGTAAGGGCTATTGTAGGTCATATAAACAAGCGTAAAGAGACCATCAACCAGACATAGCTGGTCTTTGTACAGTTATCTTCGTGGTTGTCGGAAGGGATACGGGAATGGATCCCTGCAATAGCACATAATCTCCAACAACATGATAGTTTCCACTTTCTTTTTCATTCCCTCATTCCTACTAACATCCAGCCAGCAAGACATTCTTGCAGCCAGGGCTATGCCCCTGGCCACTCCGTTTTCCCACCTGAAGGGTTCCGAAGCGGATGTCTATCAGGCCTGTACATCACTTGTGCACCAGAACTTGCCTGTTTCACATGAGTAGCATTTTGTCGGGGCATACCATACTTCCGGATACGGGGTAGGACTCTCTCTTCCATGTAGTTCTTGATGAGAGAAATGTAGTCGGACGTTTTTCAACCATTTATTGAGCGCTACTCGCTTCTGGAGTTGCCCTCCAAAGTCAGGAGACGTACTGCTGTTGCCTGGGGAGGGAAAATCCCTCCGAGGCGCCTTAGTTCAGAAGTTTGATCAGGACGGAAGGAAAGAATCTAGAAGTCGTTGTGATTGCTTCCTCCTGCCTCTTTCCCGCATCTTCTACCCATCATGTTCGGGTATTTTGCTTGGAGCTGCTTGGCTTCAAGCTTTCAAGTTGGCCCGGGGCCCCCAAGGCGTCTGACGTCCGGCCCCAGCCCAGATTGCAAACTTGGGCCTGCACCCCATGGTCTGGGAGCTCTGCGAGAGGTGGTGACTGCTGTCGCGGCCACTGAGAAGGAAGAGCTCATGGTCCAGTTCGTTAAGATGCCGCAGACCACAGCATCCAAGGTTCTCTCTCTGTCTCTGCTTCTGTGCTTCCTAAATTTAAACATATATATATATATATACACGCGCCCTACATATTGAGTCATTGTGCATTGCACTCTAATTAATATTACACGTGATATCATGTTCTGTCTTATCCAATTGCTACATGATATCATTATTTCGCCAAGGCAGCTCATGAGAATCCTGGCCTCAGTCGGGGTGGACCCTTCTGCAGCTCGCGCCCCATGGGTAACAAGCAGACAGCTTGCCAGTGGTCTTTGTGGGGGGAGTGGGGATTATATGAGCTATAGTCTAAACTCCTAGTATCCCCCTCAGTAACACTCATAATGCTCCCCTCTATAACCTTCTTTAAGGAGTTTAGACTACAGTACATGTATGGACTTCCATTGGGGTCCATCCATTCCCACCTTCCCAACTTAGCATGCTTAAATCTGTCTCATCTTGCCAAGGAAGAGCCAAGGATTTCGAAGGAGCACCTTACCAGGAGCGATGCCGTAGCTTGAGAACCACCGTGTAGACCCTAAGACGTAAAACGTAGTTTCCATGGGCTTTTTCAATTATCCCTATATGACCTCTATATAAACCTTATATAACCCCATTATATAACCCCATTATATAACCCCATATATAGTCCCTTCAGAATGTTGGCGTTCACACGCAGCTTTGTAGGATGCTGGATAAGCCTGACGTCTGCCGGACATTTTCCGAGGCGGGAGAATGCATAATAGTAGTTTCCATTCTATTTTCCTTTATCCCTATATAACCCCAGTATACCATAGCAGTTTCCATTTATGATCCCTATATAACCCAAATATATACCCCAATATATTATGATATACTATATTCAGCTACGCTGCCTGTGCGAATTGTTGCCAGGTAGGGACATAGCCAAGTTATAGCCAGATGACAATGTGGTTCTCCTGAATTACCATCATAGACAGCACTAGGGTCTCGTAATTTCAAAGCCCTAAACCCTAGAGACTGGCGAAGTTAGGAAGCCTGATCTGCTGGCACAGGTCGGTGTGGATGTGCTGGTCTTAGTCGTGCGACCCTCAGAGCAGTGCCAAGTCTGCAAGGTTCCTTTAGGGTCCCCAGCCAGCAGTCAACTGTTAGCAGCAGCCATTTCACCTCAGGACAACATTGACTACATCTTTGCCCCAGACCCCGCAAGTGAGGCCGTCTCCAGGATGTTCAAAAGCACTGATGACAGCATATTCTGAATGTGTGCTATTGATGCCTCCATGCCGTCCCAGCTTGCATTGCTAGGACTTAGAAGCATGATCCTCTGAACCGTGCTATAGCTTCCAAACAAGGAAAGACTCTGCAAAGACGTGTTGGCATTTATTCTTCATGGCGGCTGCTTACCCCTGAAGACCCTGTGCTGCGACAAGCGTTGCTCCAACCCATACCAAGCTGCGCCTGTCATCGCCGCACCTCGAAGCCCTTGAGAGAGTGCTAGGGGACATGTCAAAGCCTTAATCGTTTAAATCTCGAGCCAGCATCGTCGCGGCAACTTGACTCATGTTGCAGCCCACGCACACAGCCTAGCACAACCGCATGCAACACTCAGCAGTTTTGAAGCGATCTCATCACAAAGGATGCGTAAAGATCAAGCTTACACTTACAACGTTCTCCTTTGGCCTTAGATGCCGAGCCTGGCAGATGTGGTGCTCGCCCAGGACTGCATGTACCCTCGCATTAGGTTGAGCTGGGCTTGGCTTGTACCTCATTTCTGTGTACATATATGCACATGTGTGGTAATTACGCCACAATCATAACCTTTGTTTCAAGCATTCTCGTGCCCGTGGGAGATGGAACGCAGCAGGAAGCATCGCAGTCGAGTCACATTCCCCTTGCTTTCACCCTCCGTACGTTCTCTAGACTCTAGACTTTGGTTGTGGTGTTCTTTGGCCCTGCCGGTCGTGTTCGCGCCAGCCACACACAATTCTTGCAAGACTTCTAGAGCTCAGACCTAGATGAGTCGTTGCTATGCTCCGTATGTACAAGCATATCTATCTTCAGCCCCAAAACCTAGACCTTACTGCAGGTTCTTGCGCTTTGGGACCATAGGGCCCAGCATCCATCAGCCGCTGTTCCTGTTCCCGGTATTACTTGTAATCTTTGACCTCTAGAGTCTAAACCCTAAACCCTTGACTATGGGCCATCTCTACACACACTTTCTGCTGCTTTGATTTGAGGAGGGAACCCAAGCCTCTCAAACCAGCCCAGGGCCGTGTTGGGCGGCCAGATCTCCTCAATTTCAACAAAAACCCCAGACAGCCTTTGGGTTTAGGGTTTAGAGTTTAGGGTTTAGGTTAGGGGCTTGGGTCAAAAAACTGGCGGGAGGCCCAGAATCCCCAAGTTTTGGCAACCGCTTACTTACTTCGAGCATTAATTGTAACCGATATTACGGGAACCTCTAACAATGGACTGTTGCGTCAGAAGCATAGACGCCAGAGAAACAGTGTGGTGAATCCTGGCAAGCTTCAAGACAGGCCGTAGCTGGAGCGTCCTCTCGGCCAGGGCCATTTAGAGCAAAACCGCAATAATGCGGCCATACAGTCGGGTCAAACAGGGTGGACCTGACCGTCCCATGCCGTAGGGCGTCGCGAGGAGGAACCAGACCTTGAGGATGAGGCGCTGAACGCCGAGCTGGCTTCCTTGGCAGCGCTGCGTGCTCAGCGCCAGCAGCGGGAGCGGGAGGCCGGGGACTTGTGAAAGGGAGCTATGTATTCCGACTTGGGGATTTTGGGCAGTCTCGGCTTTTAGGGTCTTTTTGGGTGCGGGGTGAAGGAATATCTTCCCTGCTCTTCTGGGCGTTCCTGCCAGGCCCGGCCGCCAAGCGCTCGAGGCACCCTGCCGCATGAAGCGCAGCCCCAATCTGAGGCTACGCAGGCACCGGAGGTTTTCAAAGTCTGAGTCTTTTGCCCGTTATCTTCTGCTCTGGAATCATCATGACCCATGTATGACAACATGATCTACACGAGTGTGAGCTTGAAAGCCATGGAAAACCAGGGTGTGGGAAAGTTCCATGGCAGGTCTGAAGGTTCTGAAGAGGAGGGCTTTCTTGCGGGGCTCTGTCATTTTTGGAGTCAGCAGCAAGATCCCAATCTTCTTGGCAGGTCCGATTTTCTGGAGTCAATGCGGATGCTCTGCTACTAGGTTGTTGTTAATGTTAAGGAGCTTAAATCAAGTTACCAGTATCAGGACATATAGTAAATGCAGTGATCTCCTAGTGATAGTAACTTCATCGTGTAAATTTGTTAGCAGCAGCCCAGGCTATCAAGAGCAGAGCAAGCCGAAAATGCCGTTGACAAGGAGATCGAAGCAATGGAGACTCCTATGATCTCTTATGCTGGTGGTTGGTGAGGGGGGGGAAGACCACGGAAGCTGCAGCATTTCGGGTTCAGGGTGTTGGGGGTTTGGGTTTCAATCTGCGTGTGGCGGTAGATGGATGTAGTTTTCTTCTCGCTTGCTGCAGTGCAGGACAGGCCTTTATTGCAATCATGCCAGCTAGGCGTCAGCATGAAGATGGATTGCTTTCCCAACCTGGAAGTTTCCCAAAATTAGGGTACCCCAATATAGACCTCAATATACGATATTCATTATAAGGACCCCAAAACGGTGCCCCTCATTTTGAGAAACCCCCCACCTGCTAAGCCTCGGGGAACAGAAGATGTGAGAGCCCAACAAGATCACGAAAGCATAATGACAGGAATAATGCTAATAAAGATAGTAGGAATAATAGCAATAATAGTACAATAGTACTAGTACTAGTACGAGTACTAGTACTAGTACTAGTAATAGTAATAGTAATGGTAATAGTAATAGTAATGGTAATAGTAATAGTAATACGCCCAACCTGAGCCAAAAATATGGGTTACCTTTTTGGGGGTTGCTGGAATCAGGAGTATAGAGTATTGGCAACTTGGGGCTAAACCCTATCTAGATCTATCTAGGGTTTAGGGTTTAGGGTCTCGGGTCCTACAGACAAATCCGAAAGTCTACGCTTGCGCTGAGGATCGTGAGCTGCAGCGTCAGGTGGCTGAGTTCCGGAAGCAACAGCGGAGGGACTCGCAGCCTTCCTGCGAGGAGGCCCTCCTAATGTCAGGAATCACAGGAAAATTGCCAAAAATAACAATTATAGTTCAAATGAAGATAGTACCAATAATAGCAATAATAGTAACGATGACAAGAACAGTAGTAATAGTGATAGTATTCCCCATCTGTTGGAACAACATGTTTTTCAAGTTCATCCCCTAGTGCATAACTTTCTGCTTCTAGCAGCTAGCAGAGTTCTTGAGGCTCCATGTGGTGCATATGAGCTGTCGTCTAAACTCCTTAAAGGGAGGTTATATAAGGGATTATATGGGAGTATTATAAGGTTTTTAAGGGAGATACTACGAGTTTAGACAATGGCTCATATGAGATGTTGGCCCTGTGCTCTCTGACAAGGAAGGTGCTTCACTGACAGATCCAGCTCCTTTCCCTCCGGACATTCTGGACAGCATCGACAGCGCAGAGCTGCGCGAACTCAAGGCCTTGCACCAATGTGGCAGTTTCCATAAACAGAACGGCATGAGCTGTAGTCGAAACTCCATAAAAGGGGTTCTGTAGGTGATTTATTTAGGAGAGTACTATAGGAGTTATTCAGGGGGATCTAGGGAGGTTCCTTGTGAGGGCCCCTGCAATGAGGAGACTTCGTCATGTTAGAGCCTTACAGGGAGGACCCCAAGTTTTGGAAACCACCATATAGATGAGTCAAAGATTCACCCTGGTGATGGTTCACAGCAATGGCAAATCCGGTGCTTTGAATCTTCGTCTTATTGCTTGTGTCCGCAGCCTTGACGAGATGTAAGGAGATCTACTGAGAGCGTAATCTGTATGCTGTAAAGGGCAGTGAGCCTTGTACTGCCCACCGAGCTTTGCATTTTCGACGGTGTTTCCTACTGCCTGGACGCACGACCCCCTGAGCAGCCCAATCGTCTTGTGGAGATTGACATGTGCAATCAGTTTGGGCGCCTCACCAGTACTACAGTACCTTGAAGGAGATTCCCCGCAGCAGTGGGGTCCCTAAATGGGACCCGTGGTTTTGTTGCACTTCCTGTGAACCCTGCAAACTCCCAAGTCGAAGGCCCGGGTTTAAGAGAAAACCCCTCGAGCTCTCTGGAACTTTTAGCCCCCGTGCCCTGTACCCCATGTCTCTTACACCCTATGGGCCATCCTGCGCATGATGATCAGGGAATATGTGGATAATAGGGTAATATAGGCATCATAGAGGGGTAACGTAGGGGTATATAGGTAATATATTACGGATGCTCGGAAGGGTCCAGGCACTTGCTGGTCCCACGCTTCCCACGAGGGTGGATCTTCATTCCACGAGGGAATCTTGTCACGATTGGGGGTGACAGTCATGGTACTTCAGATTAAACATACCTTATTAGAATATAGTAGTTTCCATCTTCTTTTCCATTATCCCTATCTAATCCCCATATAACCGGAATGTACTTCAGCAGTTTCCACACAAGGCAGTCGCTTGGAAATGAGGAAAGTCTGACCTCGAAGTTAATGGAGTTGGGCTTTCAGGCTCCCTGGAGCCCGACTGCTCTAGCACCTCAGGGCCCACACCAGGCTGATTCTCTGACCTGCCCAGCAATCCATATATACAATATACCCCATACCATATATACCCTATACTCTACACACCCTAGAAATCTGTATGAGCTTGGTGCCCCAGGACCTTGCCGCCAAGATGGACGAAGCATTTCCAGACGAGGGCGCTCCTTACCCCCCTGCCGCGGTGGACGGATTTGAGGCTGGGCAAGGCCAGCCAAAGATTAGGGAATACGGGAATATATTATATAGGAGTTATATATGGATAATGGAAAAGAAAATGGAAACTACTGTAGTTTAACAGTGTAGATGTATCTTATTTGGCGTGTTTGAAATTGCTCATATTGGGGGGAGGTTATGACAACACATGGAAGCTGGGGTTTCTAGGGGTGTATACAATATGATTCCCCGCACTTTTAGAGCTGGATTTTGAAGTTGTATTACATAGCCAACCCATGTTCTGATTTCACGCCCACAAATCAAACCCGAAACCCTGAATAATCTAGTAGTTTCCATCCTTTTGCCGTTCCTTACTGAAAATCCTGCATGACCCTAAGTGCCTTACATCTTGAGAATTATGATACTGTAGTATCATCAGGGCATGCAGGATTCGTAGTATCAACAGTATCAAGTGCAATTTAACCCAATTTCTTCCCATCTTCCGAGCTGCTGGCATGACAGATGGATGCGCGCACAGTGAATTTGACAGCATTTGCATGGGAAAAGGGAGTCATTTTTAGCTCCCCCCCACAAAAGAAGATGCACCGCGCGAGATATGTCCGGGCTGTAAAAGTTTCATTTTTGCGGTCGAGCCGGAATCAGAGGATCCTTGCACCACAAAGCAGGGAATCAACAACTTGACAAGAACAGTATAACACCCTTCCATTTTCCATTTTCTTTTCCGTTTCTCCATTATCCCAGTATAACCCCAATAGCCCCAATATAACCTATGTAAAGGAGCTGCTTGGATACCCAGAGAAGATGCTTATCAGGTGCCGGAGGCTGAGAGTGAGGACACCGAGGCCGTCGTTTAGAATGTCAGGGGGCCAAGGTGAACATTTCCTGTGTGAGGACGCTCGTAAACCCAAACCCCAGCTTCTGATCGCATGTTTTTGGAGCTTGAAGGGCAGTAGATTTGTATCATCCGGCAGGATGCGGGATTTTCCAAAAACACGCCGGGCACAGCACATCCAAAGCACTGCCTTCCTGTCCTTGTAGGAACAAGGGAGCACCAATCTGGGTACAGCTTTCAGAAGTGATACCATCGTCCCCAAAATAGGAGCTCATACTCTCCCTCTGGTTGAAGTATGTAGCAGGCAGAAACTGTAAAAAGTACTTTCGGTATGAAGCAAGATTATGCTTTTTCTATGCAACAAGATGTGGGAGGTGACTGAGTTCAAGAAGCTCCTGGATCAGCTCGACGTTCGTTTGAGGCTGTGCGTCTCTGAACAGCTTTGCTGAATAGGGATGAAGACCTGAGGATCCCAAGTAATCAGATGGGCGTTGCTCAAATTTAGGATCTCCCACCCAAATAATACAATCTTTACTACAAGAACTTTGTTGTTTCCAGGGAGGCACTCCCATCCAAGGCAGCCGCTGTGTTGACAGTTGCCGAACCTAACACGCTGGTAATACCGGCGGTTGGGAGTTGTAAACCCAATTAGCTGATCAGGCTTGAATGACAAGGGAAGCCTTGTCGGGTCAGAGAATCCAGAGCTGAATCCTTCACTCAGGAGGGGTAGATCAACTTCTGGGATCAGCAGTCAAAATCTTGAGACATTCGCCTTCATGCTTCGAATGGTAACCATAGAGCCTGAATGCAATGACGAGATATGGCGAGCTTTGTGAGCACACGCTGAGTGCAACTCGAGACTCATGTGGTTCGCATTGATCTAGTCGCCCTACGCCTGGAAGACCTATAAAGTTGCAATCCTCGCTGCTGCTCTTTTTCATCGGAGTGTAGATTCCTGAGTTTGAGCTTGCGTGGTGACACCACAAACGTTTCCATGACAAACTAGTTATGAGGAAATGCCGTGCTGCAAGAGCTCGTGCCCCTCTGTTCCAGCTCATTGCTTGACGTGGGCTGCGCCAGCTTCCTGCAAACCGGGTTAATGCTGGTGTCTTTTCCCGCCACTCCTTCATTGCCACACTCACCTTCCCCTCAAAGCAACTGAACACCACAAACCCTAACCCCCAAGGCCTAAACCCTAAAACCTAAACCCTAAACCCCTAAACCCCTAAATCCCAAACCCTAAACTACCCTAAGCCCTAAGCCGCAGCGGTCCGCAGGGCTCTGCAGGGGAAGGAAGCCCTCAAGCTGCCCCTTGACGAGGCCACGTGTACTCCTTATAAGGGATTTTATTTGGTTTTGGGATTAGGGTTTAGGGTTTAGGGTTTAGGGATTAGGGTTTAGGGTTTAGGGTTTTCGGGTTTGGGTCTAAACTCCTTAAAGGGGGGGTTCTATAGGAGATTATCTAGCGTTTAGGGTTTCGGGTTCAGAGTCTAAACTCCTTAAACCGGGGGTTGTGTAGGCGAGTATTACAGGGGCTACTAAGGAGAGTGTTAGGAGTTTAGACTATGGCTCATGTAGAATCTGGGTATTTCCTCCAAAAAGGGACCCCTCATGTTCTCAATTTCCCCAATCTTCGATTCCTGATGAGAGGGAACTTCAATTCGCCAGCATTACAATGAAACGTAGCATTCGCCAGTCCAATTCAGTAGTGCTCTTGTCTTCATATTCTGAAGAAATGAAATTCTTGCCTGAGGAGTCGTTAACTGGTATCATGAGGCTACATGGGAGGCATGAGCGGATGAGGACGAAACTGAAACTTGATAGAGCGAGAGCTGACTGGTCCCAATTACCATCAGTTACCGGGAGTATCATTCGCCGGTCTGTGTCTGACAGAAATGTGAGCCCTTATGGCCTTATGGCCCTTATGGCCCTATGGTTTCGACCCGCCATGTCTTGCGTATTGTGCTTCGTTTCCCTTCCAAGTATGGATGCGGAACTCTTTTTGGCCGTGTAGTTTTTCACTGCAACATTGGTCGATTTTTCGAAGATCAATGGCAGTTTTGCGGCCTTGGTAGCCATGCATGACACCTGCTCTTGTCCCGTTTTACTGTGAAAGACAGGCGTTCGCTCAGTTTTGTGCAAAGGTTCCAAAGACAACTAGTTGGAAGCGAAAGGTGGTATTTCAAATGAGAGTGCTAAGAGTGGTAGCAGTACCTCTACATGGTCAAAAAAAACTTTGGTTTGATTCCCTACCCAATATCGTAAAATCCACTCCAATTTCAAATATTTCCAAAACATTGTCGACTATTAGCGGTGGGGAAAGATTTGCTGCGGGAGGCGCCAGAGTCCTTCATCCCCAAGGCAGTGACGGATACCTTGCAGGAGCTACGATCGCAGTGGCTAAGCAAAACAAGCAGAAGAGTGGCTCTTCCGGGGTTGCTGCTAAGGAACTTGAGATATAGTAGTTAGAATGTTTCCCTAAACTCTAAACCAATTTGAGTAACTTAAATCAAGTTCCTTAACAACAACCCAGTTCACGGTTATCAAGTTCAGGGCCTGCCCAGCAGCGATGCCATTGTTGGCAGAACTTGCAAGGTTGTTTGGAAGAGTCCTCAAGGGTCTATAGGGGTTGTACGGGGATAATCAAGGGTATATAGGGGTTATATAGGGATAATCAGGGATATATGTGGGTTCCATAGGGATAATGGAAAAGAACATCGAAGCTACTAAGTAGAGTTTAGGGTACAGGGAATCGCCTTGTTTTGGTGATAACCTGCCATGGCAGGATGCCAACCAAGGAACCAGTACCTGCGCAAGTCGCTGGAATCCGAACGTCGCAAGGGGAAGTTAGACCTGGACAGCACGCCACTGGACACTATCTAGTCGTATACAGGGGCTATCTGGGCGTATATAGGGTTTTATAGGGTCTAGGGTTTCCCAAAATTAGGGGTACTTTTTACAGCAGGTTTTAGGGTCTAGGGCTTAGGGTGCCACATCTTGTGTCGTCCAGGTTATGCCAAGAGAGAGGAAGCTTCATCATGCATCTCTTGCAATGCCCAAACCGCTTTGTAGAATGGCGGCACAGCTATTTTTTGTGTTGTGCTGGATTTGACCAAGCTCAGACATCACCGAGGCTGCTTGAAAAGTGAGACATTCCTATGGCAGATCTTGTTGTTTCGTTTAGCGTTTCACCCCAAGACCAGTTGAATTCGCGCAAGGAAAATGGCGTTTAGCTCCAGGTGCCTTTCAAAAGATGCTTTGTGTGCAGCATGGCCTTGAGAAGGAAGAGGCAGAGCCGCCCGAGAAGATGCTAACCTTCGGGGAGCTTCTGGAGCACATGTGCGGGGCATTCTTTGTCAAGGGTTTTCAATGCACGATTTTGTCATGCTCTTCTGTCAAAGTCAAAGAGAGCAGCACTTTGGGTTCAGGAGCTGATCTTGGAACTGCGCGGAACAAATACTGCAACTGTGCGGGACGCCCGAGAGTGATATGCAGCGGCTCAGCCTTTTGCTAGCTGCTATGTGAATTCTTGCAGAAGTCAACAGGACACTGTCGAGCTTCGCAAGTACATCCGTGCTTGTGAAGACGAGCTGCTGCAGTTGCAGGACGGAGAACGGATGTTCAGTGTAAGCGAACCGTACCTTTTTCTCCTCAGTCTTTGCACGGCCTTTCAAGAATTTAGCAGGGGCTTGCCTGCAGCCTGCACCTTGGCAGGATGAAGGGAGGACCATGGCCTCTATGCGAGCCCCTGAGTGAATCTATGGAGCATGACACATGATGCCAGAAACCAGAAACTGGGAGCTCCGGCGAGGTTTGCGCGGTCCGGCACGATGCAGCTCGAGACAGACGGGGACAGAGGACATGCAGCATGTCAACTACATGTCAACTTTCAGGGCCGAGCCTCAGAACAGCATGCTTGGTTGAATCCAACCTGCTTCCATGGAATTTCGGGGGAAAAACACTGTCAAGCCTGCGTGACTCCAGCAAGCCTTTTGCCACCGGCCCACCTGCACCTGCACCTGCATGCCCCCCTGTTCTGACGTTGTACGTTGGAAGGACCTCGGGGTGACTTGAGCCCTAGCTCATTCAGCCCGGCAGGCATGGAAGGCTGAGTCCTCAAGTTGCATACGTGCTGGGCAATGCATGAGGAGAGTATGAGAAGGCCCCCGTGGGTTATGGATCCAGCAGAGATTAGCAATCCACCGTTGTCAGCTGCAGATGGGGTCAAGAAGAAAAAATCCCCGCTTCCGAAATTCACCAGGATTGCAGGTCTGATTTCATGAAGTCGGTCTAGCGTGGGGGCACTGACTTCAGACCAGACAACAGGATGGACCCGTAGTTAGCCCTAGTTGCCTGTTGCATGCTATGTCGGCAAAATTATTTTGAGCACCCTGAGTTCAAAACCTAAACCAAAACCCCTAACTCCCTAAGACCCTAAATGGTAGCTTCCATTTTCTTTTCTACTATCCCTATATGGTACTTTCCCTAAATAGGGGAACCCCAACATAGACCCTAAAACACTATAGTCCTTATTATGGGAACCCCAAAAAGGTACACCTAATTTTGGGAAACCCCCCCAATATAACCCCAATATACACTCGAATATAATCCCTATATAACCCCATTATAGTAGTTTCCATTTTCTTTTCCACTATCCCTATAAGCCCCCAATATACTATATAGGCGCAGCTCACAAAACCTGAGCTGCCAAGGTTGCTCGGGTCGTCCAAGAAGTTCCAACAGAGCCTGGCTCCTGGAAAGTGCAAAGACCTAAAGGGGGTTAGTAGGGGGATTCTTAAGGGATCATTAATATATTGATATAGGGATTATGTAGGGATCATATTATTAGTTTCATGGATTATTAATATATTCATAGGGATTATATAGCGATCATCTTCCCTTGTTCTCTACTAATCGTCAGCAAGGAGAACGTTCTGTTCTGCTTCGGATGAGGAGTCGATGCAAAGGCCCAAAGCAGCGGCACCAAAATTCGCAACACAAAAGCGCCCGCAAACTCGCCAAGAACCCTGAAGTGACCCTGGTCCAGTCACTGCAACTACCTGCCTTTGCCAAAGGCTCCACCCAATCTTGCGGACATGCGGAGCTCGCTGGTGAGGCCATTCAAGACTCTAAGCATAGTCTACCGAATTAATCGGTGGTTGCAATCAGCACAGTGTCAACCTTGATGAACAGTTCTCGGCACTGAGTCAGAGCTTGCCAGGGCGCTGTCGGACGTGCAAAGGGATGCTCACAGGCCAGTTTCTGCACTGTGCCACAAAGGGATCAGTACCAAAATAAGGGGCCCACTTTTATACTTGAATAGTACCAGACGCCACATCATTGCGGCGGCCCATGAGTAGGAGAATGCCTAACTAAGCTCAGCCAGTTCGGCAGCTAGCTAGGTCAAGCTGACCTCTAAAAGTGCTGCGCAGTGGTTGAGCTGTTCATGAATTCAGGCCTCCAAGTCAGAATTAAGTACAGGAATTGTCATTGCATGCAGGCATTCATGGGATGCTACATTTAGAACAACTCGCTCCTGGCAAGGTTCGCAGATGGTCTCCCTCCAGACTCCAAGGCAGCTGTGCAGACCTGCCTGGCACAGATACCTTGTTTTTAAGTGGGACTTGGATCATTATGGGTGTTTTCACACTATCCCGAGATTTCGGGGGGTGTCGTCATCAAAATGGTGAGGAGTGCCCCAGAAGAGCGCGCAGGGAATGGTAGCCGCCTTGCCGCTGGCTGACGTGCGGACTTGGGAGGCCTGCACGCGTAAGCAGAGCTGTCTCAGAATGGGGCTTGGGGATTCTATAGGGATTATTAGGGGATATACAGGGGTTATATAGGGATGTACAGGGATAATGGAAATAAAATGGAAACTACTACTATAGGGTTTAGGTTTAGGGTTTAAGGTTTAAGATTTGGCATGGAGTTAAGCAGCTCTGGTAGGGATCATGTGGAGATACTTTGAGAAATTTTCAATCGAAAGTATCAGTCTTGAATAGCTCATCAAGGCTATTTGAACGGGGGAGGGTAGGCCTTGCCTTAGAAGCCCTTCTACTCACCGGAATGTCCCTACTATAGTGTCTATATTTCATCCATGCCTCCATTCCCAGGTATTCATGACTAGGAACATCTGACCCTAAACCCATAATCCAAGACCCTTAACTTAACCCCGTAAGGAATTTTCGCATACCGCTGGACTCTGGAAAAGAGGCGCTACCAATGCTAAACCCTAAATGGAAGGTTTCATTTCATTTTACAATGTGCTTTTCCATTTGATTGTCCATTCTTGGGGTCCCTACACCCTAAACCCTGAATAGCCGTTTCCACCTTCATTTCCATTATCCTTATATCTCCTATGATATTCCTAAACCCTAAACCCCTTGAGTGGGAGTATCTGTTCGCGAAAGGAAGGGGAGAATGAAGATCTACGAGCTGCGGCTGCAGCTCTGCGAGCAGGCCTCGCCTTGATATTGACCATGCCTGGGGAAGCACTTAATTTGGAGGACAGGGTTTAGGGCTTAGGGAGATTCCCGAGGGTTTGGGGTTTAGCACCTGCCGTAGCTGCTAGGGACCTGACATGGGATTTCTTGCGTATGGAGCGGACGCTTTGGGCCCGGCAGGTCTGGAAACTGCCTTCTTGCGACATGAGAGGTGATGAATCTCAATGCTGACAGGTGACAAAAGCCAATGCTGCTGGTGGGGCTCTTAGTTGATGGGTTTTGAAGGTACAAGTAGCTGACGTCGCGCGGTGATGGCTTGGTTCATGCACAGATCACTTGCTGGTTGTTAATTAGTAAGCAATGGAGGAATGGACAAAACAAGCCCTAAACCCTAACCCCTAACACCCTAAACCAGGGGCTACAATCCATTCCCTGCAGCCAGTGATGTTGTGGAAGCCTGCAGGGCCAGCGAGGACGTGGACACCCTGCGAGGCGTGCTCAGCCAGGTCCTGAAGAAGCTTTGTTTTCCTTGAAGCACAGACCGCTGTTCAAAGCGGGGACTGGGTTAGGTGGACTCCCCACCCTGTAATAGTCACTATAAGGGATACTAGGGATCATATTCGGATCCTCTTATATATTCCTATTATATCACTATTGCAGGGTGGGGTGTTGCACCTAAGGAATGGGGACCATTGCGGGACCATTACAGAGGACTGCAGTGTATCATACAAATTCGTACTAATCGACAGGTAGCCAAGCCGGGTCTTAAAAGTTGTTCTGCAAATGATGTTGGGGCTCCCCTTTGGTGGGCGAGCAAGCCATGGGGTGGTTCCAAGCATAAATCAACCCCGGACCCCAAGCTCTAAGAGTTCTCCTCGTTTTGGGAGCTGAGTTGGCAGTGTGATGCCATAGGCAGCCGGACAGTCATTTCGGGTTCCATGTTGGGATTACAACAGAATCCGAATTTTGAGGATTGGGATTACCAACATCCCCTTACTGCTTGAGGTGATCTCCTGAAGCAGACATCCACCAGCCTGACAGAGCTACAGAGGCGTGTTTTGTCATGGCACGTCTTAAGGTTCGTGGGATCTCGTGTGAAGCGTTCTTTGGCAGTCTCCGTGAGACATGACTTCTGGGAGTGTAGCTGTGGCGTCTTGCAAATTCTGCTTCCAGTTCGGGCCCAGGGGTCTTGAGCTGGTCTTGTGCTAGAAGTTTAGAGTGTGCGCATAGCCTGACACGTGACCGAATGGAGCCCGTGCCCCCGTTAGAACCCGTTCAGCATAGTGCTCGCATGCCAATATGCGATAATAGATCTTGCTCCCCCTTGCACAGAAGCATACTCCCTTCCCACGCCAACACTTGGTGCGCACCTGTTAACAGCTAGGTGCAAGGGTTGACGGTTCTCTGCGATGTCGAAGGCTTGAGGCCTTTAAACAGAGTCCGACATCTCAGTAAGTGGCTGTCATGCTTCATGGATGGGCTATATGAGGGAGGGGAGCAGCATACTGGCAGCACTTCCCAGTGCAGTTGTGCCCCAAACCGACAAACCTCGAACCCCACGCTCTACAACCCTGCAGGGTACACCAATAGCACACTAAGATGCGTTGAAGTCGCAGAGCGAGGGTGCAATCAGTGTCGTCCAACTGGTACAATGTGCTGCGGCAAGGTCCGAAAGGCTTGGCAGGCCACCCCTAAATCCTATTATC